AAAACCTATCCTTTTAAATTTATTTTTATTTACTTATTTTTTAATTTATGTTTTAAGATAAGAGCTTTACCTTAAAGGAAAGATTCACAATTAAGAACACACTGTTGGCCAGATGTGGACGCACATGCCTTTAAACCCAGCACTCAGGATATAGAGGCAGTGTATCTCTGTGAGATTGAGGTCAGTCTAGTCTACACAGTAAGTTCCAGGTCCCCCAGTTCCTGGGAAGGGAGATCCTGTCTCAAAAAGAAGAAGAAGAAGAAGAAGAAGAAGAAGAAGAAGAAGAAGAAGCAGCAAACCCAAACAACAAAATCAACCAAAAGAATAGTGTTAACTCGTTTATGAAAAATTTATGATCTTATTAAAAATACTGAGGGGAAACAAGAAAACAACAAAGGTGATTAGCTATAGGCATTCTGAGGAATCTTGTAAAAATTTTTTGAGATAGTGTCACTATGTAGCCCAGGCTGTCCTCCAACTTGTGATCCTCCTGCTTCAGTCTCCTGAGTGCTGAGATTACAGGTATCTGACACCACACCTGGCTCTTTTCTTCATTTTTCAGATTCTTCCATGCTTTCTACAAAGAGCATGTATGACTTTGATAACCAAGAGACTTTTATAAAAGTTACAATATTGTTGCCAGGGAAGCAGTTAGATATTTCTGTTCTTTGAAGGCCTTTTCTCACTCTCCAATGGAGGGAGAAGGTAGGTATTAATTTATCTGAAGTGCAGTGGCCCACAATGACGGAGCTACCTGTCCAACCTAGGCATTTGTGAAATCTATGACTAGGGGTGGCAGATTAATTTCAAGAGCTGTTTTAGTTAGCAATCTTGAAGACTGTATTTGCTTGCTTGAATTTTTTAAAGACAATGTCTCGTGTGTAACACTGGCTGGTCTAGAATTCAGAGACCTGCCTGCCTCTACCTGCTAAGTGCTGGAATTAAAAGTATACACCATCATACTTAGCTTATGAAGCATATGAATATGCAAAGGGGTGTGAGTGACAGGACTATGCTTTTCTGTGATGGGGGGAGGTGAGGGGGTACTGGAGCTTGAATCCAGGGCCTTGTGCATGGTTGGTAAATACTATACCACTTAATTACATTCCTAACACTATTACTGCAATTTTATTTAGCTAAACTATGCCTTATATTATTTACCTCTACCTTATGTTACATTGCATTGAAAATGTGATTTTATTGTTTATTTATTTAATAAAAGGAAGAGTTTATTTGGCTTATGGTTCCAGAGGGAGCCCATAATAGCAGGGGAAAGCATGGTGGAGCAGAAAGGAAAGGAATCACATCTTCAAGCCAGCACAGGAAGCAGAGAGAGTCACTGGAAATCTGGCAAGGCTTAAGAACTCTCAGAGCCTACCCCCCGTGACTTGCTTTCTTCAGCAAGACCGCCCCTCCTAAAACCTCAAAACAGTGCCACAAACAGGGGACAAAATGTTCAAATACTTGGAACCTATGGGGGACACTTATTCAAACCACCACAACATTGTTGGCCAACTGCTGCCATTGTTCACCTCAAGAATTTTCCATTATCTCTAACTGAAATTCATTATCAATTTATTATGAAGTTCTTGTTCCTCCCTCCTCTGTGGGTCTGATGACCACTATTCTAACTCATTTTTGATGAATCTGACTATTACAGAGACTGCCTAAGTGAGCCAAACAGTATTTGTTTCTTTGCATCTAGCATATTTCATTTAGCATATAGTTTTCAAGATTCATCCATACTGTGGTATGTATTAATTCCTCTTTAAGGCTTGATAATTTTCCATTGTATACATGCCACGTTTTGTTTATGCTTTTGTTTACTGATGGACATTTCAATTGTTTCTATTTTTTGGCTATTACGATATGCTGTTACAAATAGAGCTGTGCAAATATCTGTTGAGTCCCTACTTTCAATATATACATATATATATGCATATATATTTGAATATATGTGCATATATTTACATACATATGCAAATAAAATTGATGGATCACTGGGCAATTCTAAGCTCAAGTTTCAGAATAACTGCCACCTGTTGCTTTAATGGCTGCACCACTTTTCATTTAAAAGGAAGTAATCACTATTCTGTGCCCATGTTTTGTGGATAGTGTTTCTTCATTCTAAAAGCCTTTACACTAGTATTTCAACAACTCCTTTCAAACAGTGGTGATTCTCATAAGCCTGGATGCTTAGTATACTGTATATACTATATCTGCATTGTTACTTCTGTGGTTGCATATCTGCATTATGATGTCAATAATCCTTCTCACCAGGGGTGAAGACTATGTGGCCCACACTTTTAATCCCAGCACTCAAGAGGCAGAGAGGCAGATATCTGTGGGTTCAAGGCCAACCTGGACTACATATCAAGTTTCAGGCCAGCCAGGGTTACATAAGGAGACCCTGTCTCCAAAAGGTTCCTTCTTACCATCTATATTTTATTAAAAGATCACTTTAAAAATCAAATTAATACTTAAAATTTAAAAAAAAACTATTTTATTTATTATTTTTATTTTATGTGTATGAGTGTATTACCTGCATGTATGTGAGTGCACCCGTGTCCTGCAATGCTGCGAAGGTCAGAAGAGGGCTTCAGATTCCCCCGGAACTGGAGTTAAGGATGGTTTGTAGCCACCATGTGGGTGCTGGGAATCGAACCCGTGTCCTCTGCAAGAGCAGTCAGCACTCTCAACCGCTGAGCCATCTCTCCAGCCCTGCCCCCAATGAATACTTTTTAAGTCATCAATGCACTGAAAATCTTCACATCATAATGACAAAATTCAGCTGTCAGAGTACATATACAGAAACTAAAAATCAAGGAGCAGCACACAGAGAATTTCTGTAGCCTCCTGCCTTAGGAGATTTTCCAGTATAAAGAAAGTCTAAGAAAAGGTACCTCAAGGACCGATATGTGTGTTGCTCTGTCTAAAACTCAACTCATTTCAGCTTAGACCTGTGCCTCTGTCGGGAAAAGAAGTACAAAGGGTATTCTTATATCTTGCAAATAATAAGGCTGGTAGTCCAAAAAACCAGGTTCTAATTCTGAATTTCTCACTAGCTGAGTGACTTTAGACAAGTCATTTAACCTCTGATTCTCATTTAAATCAAATGATCACTTCTACTGTGAATGCTCTGTAATTGAACAGGATCTAACTTCGAATAAACTACGATGTCCCACAATTTATATTCCAGTTAAACCCCACATCAAGGACTTAACAGTGGTAATGGAGCTAGAGTTAAACAGCATCCCCCATGGAAGAGAGATCCTAAGAGGTAGAAGGTTAGTTAGAGCCTCAAACTCGCTGCTTCTTCCCTAAAGAAACATCCCTGATCTCCTCAGATAGGCTCACAGTTGTTGTCCTTTCCTAGTTCCTACATCTATCTATCTTCCGTCTCTAGATTGACATTCAAGCTGAAATCTATGAATGGGCAGAGAAGGGGTTATAAAAAAAAGCAAACAAAAACATTGAGATATACTTCAACTTTTAAAAAGCCCACAATAGCAATAATGAAGGTTCTGTCAGCTTCCCTTACCAAGACAAACACAGCTTTCTTCCAATGCGCTTTATTTCCTTACCATGATTCACAAGTGACATATTTCCCAGTTAACACAATTCTTTCTCTGTTCTCTTGTATCCGAAGTACATTCTATAGTGCATCGCTGCAGCTATGTAGCTATGGGCTGACCTCTCAGGAAGCTGTCAGTGTTTCCCTACCTTCCTCTTGTTTCTAGAGCAGCTGTGCATTAGCACAGGTCCCGGAATAGGAGCTGAAATCTGCGTTGATCTTTTGTCACATTAGTTACAGAGGAAGTGGTAAAGGTAACCAGAAACAAGGAACAGAAAATTTCTGATAAACAATTCTGGTGGTTATGAGGCAGCTTAAGTGAAAAACACCAGAGTTTGTAGCTGTGATTTGAATTGTAGGATTAAAGGTAACTGCCTCCCACTTACATGAAAATATCAATTTAACTAAAAATCTGAGTGTGGCTTTGTAGAGTTAGCATTCCATTCTGTAGTAGTAGAGAGCAAATTATATGTGACATTCATATGGTGCACATTTGAATGCAGAGAAAATATTTCTTAAAAACAATCTGGGAGCCCTGATATATGTGCTTTTGTGATTTCATAGTATGTGAGAGTGAAATAAAAGAAATTATCTTTTCACAGATTCAGTAATTTGGATCTTTTCAGCCCTGTTGTCAAGCAGCTGAAGCCTTTTTTAACACACAAGTTAGACTGGATGCTTCTTTTACTGGGTTTGCAGTGAAAGACTAAACACAGGTCTTTTAATGCATGTACCTCTCAGTGGTCCTCTTCTGGGGATAGAGAAGTCACCACCAGCATCAGATTCTGAGGCCAGGTACAAGGAGGAGGATTGAGACTCAGTAGAACCCGAGTCTTTGTGGGAATCCACACCAACACTTGTTTATACCCTTGGTCATTGGAATAGCTCTTGTCTCATTAAGAAAACACTGAGCTGGTTTTCAAAGGACTTGGTGGTCTTGTCTATGGCTTCATAAATCTTTTATCTATTCTTGGGAGGACAAAGTGGATAAACACTTAAAACCTGTTTGTTTCTGTGCCTATATCTTCCAGTTCTGCATTCTTCCCCAGGCAGAAAGATCGTTGAGACTGTAGTAAAAAGGTATTTTCAGATACTGAGATATTTTCTGTGACAACTGGGCAAAGGAGTTAGGAGGATGAGGCACAAGAGGGTATCCAGATAGCTACTTTCCTGGCAGGACTGCATTGGTAGGCCTCCCTCCTTTCCCATTTCTTTTCTCCCCTCCCATTCTCTGTCTCTTTTCTAAACCCCAACCTGGCCTTCTATAGTAAGAGGTCAGTATGTTTTCCACACTTGGGAAATCTCATTCAAGAATTTTTGTCAATGGACAAGTCATAAGAAGCCCTTCCATTTTAGGGCACGTTGACGTCACCAAGGAGGCGATAAATATCTGTTGATATAATTGGATGTGAGATTCAGTGTTGAAATAGCAGAACTCTGTCCCTCGCTCCTTGGCAGGGCCCTATGATTTATGCAGGAGCAGAGGCAGCACGCAATCGAACTGTCAAGAGAGCGTCAGCTTATTAGGCAAATGCTGCGTGCTTTCTGAAGAGGTTCGACGTTATAAAATCTCACTGCAGGCTCTGGTTTGGAGAAACTCAGAGCCCAAGTACGTTGAGATACTGAAGAGAAAAAAGAGGCAAAGAAAAGAAGAAGGGGAAGAAAAAGGAGAAGAGGAAGGAAATCTGCAAGCAGCATTCCCAGAGGAGTCCCTCTGCTGAGCAGCAGCAGCTCCGACTCACCTGCGAAGCAAGGAGAAGGTAGGGAGCGCCTAGACGGGCTCCGCGCGCCACCAACTTTGCGCTGCCTGGAGCTGCAGCGGTGCAAGCTGCGGAGCTAGCTGCCCCGGTGCAGGAATGTGTGTGTGTGTGCGTGCATGTGTGTGTGTGTGCGCGTGTGTGCGTGCGTGTGTGTGTGTGTGTCTGTGTGTGTCTCCGTGTCTGTGTGTGTCGGCGACTGTGCCTTAAAATTCCGATAGCAGCGGGGATATGGCAAAAAGCAAAGTTAGACGGCCGCTAACCGTTATCCACCCAACCTGCCACTTACGGCTCACAGTCTGTGTAAAGGATCCCTTCCCTACCGAGTCTCACATCCGTTCCGACCCCCAAGAAAAAGGAGCAAGGGCAGGAATGGAGTCAGAGGAGGAGGTAGTTCTCAATTTGAAAGAGGCTGAACTATCAGAAAGAGGGTGAGCAGGGCGGGCAGATCTTGTATCTGGGGCTCTTCTCCAGCTTCAGGGAAATCTGCTTGAGGAACAGGTTTGGGGGGGGGAGTCCTTGGGAAGAGGGGTCAGGGACGGGTCCTTCGAGGTCTCCAAAGACAGGTCACCTGCCTGGCGAGATGAGCTTATACCTTTGCTACCGAGCCTTTCAGGGACCCACTTTCAGCACCGCGGCCAGCGCCTGCAGAGCCCCTGAGCGGGCCGAGGGGTGGGTGTCGGGCAGGAAACCCCTAGTGCACCTCCCAGTTGAGCTAAACTCTGAGCCACTCTCCTTCTCTCTCTCTTCCCTCCTCTCTTCTGCCCTCCGCCCACCTCCAGGCTGCAGCGAGCGCCCCAACATGCGGCTGCGGCTGCTGGTGTCCGCAGGCGTCCTGCTGGTGGCTCTCTCGCCCTGCCCGCCATGCCGGGCCCTGCTCAGCCGGGGACCGGTCCCGGGCGCCCCGCGAGCCCCGCAGCCCCTCGACTTCCTGCAGCCGCAGCCTGAGCAGCCGCAGCAGCCTCAGCCTCAGCCGGTTCTGATCCGCATGGGGGAAGAATACTTCCTCCGCCTGGGGAACCTCAACCGGAGCCCCGCTGCTCGCCTTTCGCCCGACTCCTCGCCCTTCGCCGCCGGCCGCGGCGTCCACCCCTCGCCGAACCAGGCTGCAGCCAACTTTTTCCGCATGTTGCTGCAGCAGCTGCAGCGCTCGCTCGACAGTCCCACCCGGCCGGTGGAGCGCGGCGCCGAGAACGCCCTCGGCGGCCACCAGGGGGCGCTGGAGAGGGAGAGGCGCTCGGAGGAGCCTCCCATCTCCCTGGATCTCACCTTCCACCTTCTCCGAGAAGTCTTGGAAATGGCTAGGGCGGAGCAGTTAGCGCAGCAAGCTCACAGCAACAGGAAACTGATGGAGATTATTGGGAAGTGAAACGGTGCGTTTGGCCACAAAGATTCTGCATTTAGCATAAAAATAATAAAAACATCAAAACACAGTATTCTGTACCATAGCGTTGCTCTGATACCATTTGTTTATTTTTATATAGCTTGAAGCATAGACAATGTACAGGAGAGAGCTTATATACCCCTAGTTAGCATGAACCAAGTGTATTCATGTGTAGTAACAGTGTTATTTGTATTGCCCATTTTTAGTTTCCATGTTCAAGTGTCTTTACACTGGTGTCTTAAAGAAAATGTAGATCCGGGGAGAAACATTTTGAAGAGCAGGTGGAAGAAGTCACCCCGTTGTTATTGTAGGGGCCGCACGCAGCTGAGGAGAATGGCTTCTCTTGAGGGATCTCTAGATGAAATGTGTAAGTTCTTTGAACCAACTTTTTCTTGTAGACATTTCAGTAATAAAACATCTTTCCAATCCTTGGTCAATTTGGTTGTGTAAGAGGACGTTGAATATTTATATTTTTAATAAAAGCTGCAAAGGTTATTGCGATTTTATCTTTCCTCTTCAATACTTATACAGAAATACTCTCAGCTCCTCACCCCTTGTGAACTATCTTCAGTAGAAGAAAACAAAAACTAAACAAGCAAACCAAAATACCCACAAAACCCATCCTGTGTTTTATTTTCTCCTAAAAATACCAACATTTATCAGCAACTCGCACAGACCCTCTAATTGCCCTGGCTTCTCTGTAACTCAGATGTCCTTTTGGAATTGAGGTACATCACTTGACAGGTCCCTTACACCTCTTAAACTTGGTAGCTTGCAACTGGAAGATCAGTCACAGTGGAAATAACATGGAACCCTAATTGATTAAGAAACGCAAAATAGCTGGGGAGACAAGGGAAGGACGAACAAAGAAGGGCTGAAGCTGGCACTTTTTCAAACTATACAGCTGAATGGCTGCATTGTTTTTCTATGACAGAGGTTTTATCAAGCTACTGTTTTGGTACTATAAATACAAACTTCTCTAAGTTATTTTCTAATGACTATGTATGATAGGAGACACTTAAAAACTTCATTACATTTGTTTATTTACTGGGAGAGTGGTGGCCATGTGCATGCCACAGCACTTGTATGGACATCAGAGGACTATTTGCTAGATTCAGTTCTCTTCTTCCATCATGTGGGTCCTGGGGATTGAGCTGAGATCTCAAGGGCCTGGAGGTAAATGTCTTTACACACTGAGCCATCTTACCAGTTGTATATAGGAGAAACTTTGTAGCACAGACCCTTAAAAGAACTAAACATGGTTTCTATAAAATGTCACTTGGAAATTTTTTTAAAGAACATCTTGACTTTAATAACCACACAGATACTCTATATTTATCTTTATCCCAATTTAAATCACTTAGACTCTTAGGACCATGAACTATCTCTACTTGCTTTCAAAATTAAACAGTACATCTAATTTTATAATAATGTTGTATAATACATTTGCCTTTGGTAGTTTAGTTATATCTTTAAAAACTTCAATCACATAATACTTCAAAATTAATTTATATATATGAAGATAGTACTTCTCTTAAA